CCTCTCCCCAGCAACCTGCGAGTACTAAGTATTAGCCGATTGTCACCCATAAGCCAAAGCAGTTCTACTTTCCTACGTGCTGCTACTCCCGCTCTTCCTCCCGCTGGTCCTCAGCCTTACTACTCTCTCTTCTTCGCGATCCTTCCCAACTCCTCAGTTTCCACGCCAGCACTCTCGTCCTGCTCCACGCAATCCTCCGCTCGCGATTTCCCCGGAAGGAAGTTATGGACTAAGTGTAGGTGTGGACACGGTGCGGCTGCCAGACTGTGCCAGTTGCCAGAAGTCGGACCGCCGTAGCACGACCCAAAAGAGACGCACGTGAAATCAACCACGGTGCCACCCGATGAAGTCGGTGAATCAACCGTTCGGCACAGACCAACCGTGCTTTGAACAATGATCCCATTCAGTTCGCTCCCGAGAGAGAACTGATTGCTGGCAGTTCACGAACGACGTCGAACGTCATTGATATCCACTTCGACTCGAAGATACAGGCCCATAACCACTGTCTTCTGCACTCCGAAGAGCGAAGTTAGAAATCTGAATCTTCCTTCCGACGAACAGCATTCACACCGACAGGCCGACATGCCCTCAGGGCCTCAGGCACCTTTGATCGAAGGTTGTGTAGCGGTTCCCTCGTTCGACTTGCCTCCATACTGGACAGAACTACACCTCCATTACCAGATCAGTTAATACGGGAGTCCAACCCTCAACCTCACAAACGCCCAACTAGAGCCGACCATACTTAGCGCGATATAGACATCCCCAAGATCGCCTCGAGGTGACTCCAACGAAACCACCCTTCACAGGCAACAGCATGGACGGGTATGCCACCTCCGCCACGAGGCTAATAATAGATCCCGGCATCCCCAAGATCGCCTCGAGGTGACTCCAACGAAGCCACCCTTCACAGGCAACAGCATGGACGGGGATGCCACCTCCGCCGCGAGGCTAATAATAGATCCCGGTCTCGTTCATCGCCCTCCCGCGAAACAGCCCGGGTTTCCACACGTGCTCCTCCTCCTGCTTTCCTTACGTTCTTCCTCTCCACCAACCGTCAGCCTCGCTGATTCGATCTCTACACATTGGAAACAAAATTGTGGGACGAGTGTACTTGACTGAGCCTGTCGATACTAGTACGTACCCCTGCTGGGCTAATCTTCTCTCTGTTCTTCCGTATCCCAGGCCTCCTACTCGTAATACAAATGGCCGTCATGATACGTTGACGAAAGCGCCGAGTAAAAAGTATTAGTAGACCACAAATCAAGCAACAAATCTGATCTATTAGTAAACCAATAATCAACCAACATAATTCAAAATTACGCCTCCACAGGGGGTCCCGACTCCTGACCGTCCCCACACAACTACCTTCCGTAGCCCCGGAAACGCCACTGTTACCCTCAAAGACCATAAAAACCTTGCTTCTGCGCAAAATGGCAACCCAAAATGGTGGCCAAATCACGGACGCCCCCGATCCCCGCTCGGTTGGAAATGAACTGAGAAGACCTTGGAAAATACATTACCGGACCACACGTCCACCTCGCTTAGGTGTGATGCAAACAATTAAATTAAAGAAGACAAGCACTGCTAGAACGGGTTGCTGCACTGCAAAGCCTCTCTCTCTCTCTCTCTCTCTCTCTCTCTCTCTCTCTCTCTCTCTCTCTCTCTCTCTGTGTTTGTGTGGACGTCTGTTTTGAGGTGGCCGTTTTCATTACGCATAATTTCGCCTCGGCAAAGACTACTTTTCACAATCCTACTCAACTAATCACGAACAGAAACTAGACATTCGCTCTCTTTCGCGCACTGCATGACCAGAAAATGAAAGGAAAAATAAAAAAAACGAGCGAAAGCAAGAAGGCAACATTTCGTGCCGCGAGTAAACTCGATTACATAATCTACAAACTTGCGAAAGAATTTCCGAACTACTCACACTATGTACTCCTTCGACGAGGTCTTCTCCTCTTTGCCGAGGTGAAGGCCATCCCCTGCCCCTGTTGACCCCATCGATCTCACCTGCTCCTCCTGATTACAGGCTAAATACTACAGCTTCGCCCGGAGACGCTTCCGATGGCCCCAGAGTCCCCCATCCCTTCTTTTCCCACTGCCATCTTCCTCAGGCTGACCACTTTTCCCTTGAACAGTGAACGCACTGCTATCACAACATTCACCCCTCAGCGACGCCTCCATTTAGCCATCAACCCCTCCTTCACTTGAATCGCTCATGCATGCTTTTTCATCTAAGCCGCGAAGTACTTTGCTAACATCATGACGGCCTTCGCAAGCTCGAGGTCGCTTCCGCAAAAATCTCCTTCCCCGACCCACAGCCTACGCCCACCTGCTCTTCAAACACAGCAAACCGTAACCAATGGCCGTCCATTTGAAATGCGTACAGGCGTTCACAACACACCCAGACGCAAACACACGCTGGCAAGACAGCAGCACCGCGAGAACCGGCGAGCTGGAAACCACGGTTCCATTTGTGTGGTGACCGATGGGAGACCACGCGAGCATACGTCTCTGACTCCTCGGTGTACTAACGGGCGAGCCGGGGACATACCCACTCGACGGTTTGTGTCAATTAGTCGTTCGGTTGCTGACCTCGCACGCTTCTCTTAATTCGAAGATACTGACATGGAATACACTGTCAAGACGACATAATGTCGTCATTACGACGACAACGGCGGTGGCGACGTTACATGGATTTTCGAAAGCGATACGGAGGCCCGTCATCGAGCTTAATTGACAACCTGCATGACATGTACAACCACATTCGCTATCGAGTAGCGGAAAGGCCATGACGTGCACGCTGATCTCAGAGTGCACGCGTCACTGCCAATGTCGGGCAGGCGGAGCACCGGCATGCATGCCACAATGGCCGAGTGTTACGAATTTACGAAACGATGCCCAAAATGGCGTGTGTTCGCTGACAGAATCGACCACATGCCAACAAATCTACGAGTTCCACTTGACGGTGGAAATCGAGTCAGCCACCGCACCACTGGTTTGTGGTCATGATTTTTGAAGACCGATGTCAGCAGCTGCCATTAAGTTCTTCGTTCCTCCAGTTGTCTGGAAAAACTTCCTCGTCAGCCCTCTCCGTGTCTCTCTGAACATCTGCCTCTCTGTCTGCCTCTCTCTCTCTCTCTCTCTCTCTCTCTCTCTCTCTCTCTCATACACACACACACACACACACACAACAGCAACACACACACACACACGCACACACACACACACGGATGCACACCACGAGGCTGCATTAGGAAGTTAACGTGAAAAGCAACCCCGGAGTACACAGAGCAGAGGCACGGTTTACATTCGCGCTGGCTCTTAGGAGGTATTCAACTGAATTCGCGATAATTTGCGATTCCACATCTGCATCTAGGTGAAAGGCTGCAGCCTGCTGCACGGTGCAATATTCTTAAAGACGTGCAATTGTGCGGCTGTTGATCATGCCAAAAGCAGGACGATCCTGTAACAGAGGTGGGGGGGTGATGACCCATCAGGACGTGCAACATGACCCAGTCCGACCAGGCGGGGGACGTGGACCTAAAAGAAGGATCTCTCTCCCTCTCTCTCTCTCTCTCTCTCTCTCTCTCTCTCTCTCTCTCTGTCTGTGTGTCCCACACACACACACACACACACACACACACACACACACACACACCAGGAGGGAGAGAGTTCCAATCCTCCTCTGGGCGCTAGGAAATCATCAATTTCCTTCGATGAATTCTTCTCCGAACCTCTCCTTGCTGGCTTCTGTCTTCTCCAAGGCAAGGTAAGTTTGAATGCACTGCACAACGCTGCTCCTGACAATAGCAATAGTCAACCCTGTTTCTTAGTCTCCGTCGCTCGAGGAATCACTCGCCATTTCACACATGGTCTTCAAAGCGGCCACGACGGGAACAGAAAAGGGAATGAGTGCCAATGTCGCGACCAACCTGCACCAAACCACCCGCTCCTCCATCAGGTAATCCGTAACGGCTCCGAGCGGAGAGGTGGTGAGAAAACGCAGTGGGTAGGGTGCACACGAACGGGACAGACAGTAAGTCCTGTACAGCACTTGGTTATTCTTGTTTGCTCTTGCCAATCGATCTGCCTGACTGAAAGGCCCGCACTATCTAGTCCCGTGTCGTCCAAGACTGTAACCACGTGAACGTCCAGCCTACATTGCCGCAATCGAGATGGCCCCGACCATTTCTGTGACTGAAGTGTGTGAGGTGCGAGAGAGAACGGACGTCTCCTTACTCCTCAGCGACTCCCTCCGATCACCTACCCCCTCCTCTTCCTCAGAGCACAGCAGAAAGAAATGCTGCCTCTCTGTCCACGGCCTGCCAGCGAATGGAGCTCACGTCCAAGCCAACTGTCGGAGATAGGTTGGTTCCGAAGAGCAGGGGTCCCTCAGGTGGGCGCGAGCCAGGCGGACTTGTCCCGCCACCACACTACGTACGTTTCCCACAACGGAATTCTGTTTCTTCCGTTCTTCTCGCCGACTGTTGTCCACGTGATCGCTCCCTGATTTGATCATGACAAGACAGGTATGTGTGTCCGCCTACTAAAGCAATCATTCGCCGCCACTCATAGCCATCTTCAGACCTGCGGTTCGCGCATTTGTGGATAGTAAGGGAGAAAGGCTTCTTTCTTGTCTCCATCAAGAAGTCCTGAGATTCGACCCCGCAGAGAAGGCGTTGGTGCACGACCCACGGCCACGATGATTAGCACCGACAGAATCTGCTGTCCAGGAGGAGGGATGCGATTGCAAGAAGAACGCACGCACTCGCGCTTCGTCCTCCATGTACCTCATTCTCTTCATCCTAAGTTCGTCCTTTCGACGCTCGAGCTCTCTCTCTGCCAGCTGTACACTGTTCTCGAACAGCTGCAAGCATCTCTCCTCCTCCTCGAGAATCTGATCGATCAGGGAGCTGGTAACAGGAGGCTTGTCAACGTTGCATTCGCCAGAAGCACAACACAGTCTGCCCAAATCTGCGCTCTCGTTAGCCACTCCACACTGCCCTACACCTGCTGTTCCTTCGCCTCTCAGTCCAGCGTTCCAAGCACGATTGGCGCCTAGCCGGCCTTCAGAATGCGAATGCGTGAGGAGTCCGAGAAACAGACCGTCAGAAGGCTGCAAGAAGGACGACAGGGAAAGAAGATCTCCCGATCCGCCGCCTTTCTGGGAAGAAGATATAGTTGACTGCATCATCAACGGGGTGTCGGGCGAGAGTAGATCTACCATACAGGAGGAAGGGGAAATTTTTCTCTTCTTTGCTGGTAGATTTGAATCGTCACTATCTGCGCTCCAACACATCATTTGATGCGGTGGACTAGGTAACGACATAGTCGGACGGGAGAGCAAGGAGAGGGAGGTGGGCGGCGAGAATGCGCTGCAGTTAACGGTTGGATTGCAGGCAGCGGCCGCGGTGCCAGCGCAAGACTCCCCTCTTCTGCCGCTGGTGCTCCCCCCATCTCCGCCCGCAACTCCGATTGGATGGGTAGAGTGCGAGGTCAAACTGTCGCCCGACGAGGATCTGCAGCAGTCCGCCTGCTGCTGAGCTGCAGAGCGGGGGCGATCATCTCGTTCTGAGCCGTCATTGGGGCGATCAGCAAGCACAGCAGCTGCTGCTGCTATTTCCGCTCCTCCCTCGTTGCCGCCCGTGGAAGCAGACGGCGCTGGAACCCCTTGCGCTTCCTTCTCCAATGTGTATCGAGCGCGGCGCCTCGGATCGTCATTGCCAATCTCACTGCCCCGCTTCCTTCTCACCGACCAATCTACGCTCGCACTGCTGTTACCAGCCGTCGTCGGCCCTCCTTCGTGATTGGGACAGTCTTGACCTTCCGACACGTTGGACGCGACTGGGCGCAGGGAGGCCGTCAAGGCAGCCACGAGATGAGCGTTCACCGCAACGTGCGGTTGCGGTCGAACAATTGATACCGGCGGCGGCGATACAGACCTATCATCCCCCAGCTCCCCTCTCTCTCCTCCATCGTCGTGACGGTCAGAAACATGGGACGCTGTGCATGCATCGTTCTTCAGCTGCGCAGGCTCCAGAGTCTTCCTCGCACTACCAGCCTCAGCCCCGCTGCCTCCACTCCCCACGATCATCTCTCGCATGCTAACAGCTGGAGGCATGGGAGCGGAAGCGGAAGCGGAAGCCAGCCCCGCATCGTCCTTTGTCCACTGCCCCGGGTGGGGCAATCCCGCCACGGCGCTCAGCAGGTGCTTCCGAGACGACGATGAGAGCTCCGCGCCTGACGTCCCCGCGGCTGGTCCTGAAGGAGGGCAAGAGCCCGACACAGCAGCGGAAGCCGCCGCCGCTAAGCAATGAAGGCGTGACACATAACTGGCCGGTGATGACACAACCGAACTGTGCAGCCGCGGAAGACCCGCCGGAGGTCCGCTTCGCACCTTCGTCGCTTCCGTGGGGTATTGCTGCGCTTGTCGCACACTCTCTCCTCGACGTGCACCCGTAAACAAATTCAACCTCGTCGTTTCCTCCTCCCCTTCGCTCGTGCTAGCTTCTGGCGTCGCCAATTGCGGAAGATCATCAGCGCACCACCCACCGCTGCTCTCCCTCTTCATTGTCATGCTACTGTCACTGCGTGGCCGGCAGGAAGAAGCCGCTGCTGCACCATAACCTCTAGGGGCGCGGCTCGCAGCCATGTCCAACCCTTCCCCTCCTCCTACTCCTCCACTTGCTGCGGCTTCGCCTGCTGCGGCCTGATGAAACCTACGAACCGTTTCCTGATGACCGCCCACGGCGAAGTTGTTCAGCCCTCGGTCTCGTCCTCCCACTTCCCCTCCACCATTGCTGATCAATCCCAACGTGAGCTGCCTCTGCAGCTGCGTAGAGAGGTTACCTTGAAGCTCACCATTACCGTTACCATTACCAATGCCAATGCCATAGTGTCGGGGGACCTGTTGCTGTCGTAAGGCGGCATGTTTATCGGCTGAGTACTCTTGGCAACGACTGTGATGATGATCAAGCTGATGCTGGTGCTGACTGAGGGTCTTTTCGCACACGCTATGGAAAGGATGACGGGCCGTCGGCCCCGGTGTGAGGCCCTGGCAGGCAGCAGCAGCAGCAGGAGCAGTAGCAGCGGCACCTGGAGCAAGAGGAGCGTCAGGAGAGCTGGGAATGGCGCTGGCTGGGGAGCCTGCTGTTGTGTGAGAGCTGAATACGCGGGACTCCGGAGGAGCAGGCAAAGGCAGAGCTGTGGCAGTGATGTTACCGAAGGGGCTGGCCCCGCTGGACGTTCCATTGCACAGTGCCAACCTGGCGCCTCCTCCGCCCCCAGCGCCGCCGCCTGCGGTGGCGCAGGCGGAGCCTGATCTACTCCTTTTCCTCGATATACTCCTGATCGGCTTAGAGTACGTAGGCGCGCAGATAGGAGCCCCCTCTCTGTCGGCGGACGGCTGCGGAGTAAAGCAGATACAAAAGAGGCGGTTATCGCATTTAGAAGACAACAAGGAGATCGCTAACTTAAAGGAGGCTCGACCAGCGATCATTCTCGTGGGCCGTTCGACTGCGGGGAACTCCACCCCATTGAAGGTGGTGAAAAGGGGGGGCTCAGCGAGAGGGGGCTTGTCATATCGTATAACCGGAGCTTTGTCGTGCGCATACGCCACCGAAGCGACGATGTTCATGTCCGCATTCACTAGGCACCCATCTTCGTCCACCAAATGCACGTTTATAACGAATTTCCGCCGGCAGGAAGCCTTGCCACCAAGAACGACCAGCGGTTGCTCGGACGGTTTTCCCCCATTGGCGATCTCGGCGGGGACGGTCGTGATCAGGCGGCAGCTGGGGAGGTCCGGGGAGCAGGGGGACGACGATGACGATGGCGCTGTGGACGACGGACTTCGCGATTCCGCCAGCTCGCTCACAGAGTTCTCTCCCGACATGACTTCGGCCATCTCACGCGCGGCGTGCCTAGCGGCATTAGCCTGCCGCACAGTATCCTGACCACATGCAACCGCACGCTCTTACCCGCACGCTCTGACCCTCACGACCTCTATGTCGTAAGGAAGCTTTGGAAACGAGGCCCGCAGTTAGTGGTACGCAGAATATAGGGGCGGGGCCTCAGGTCGCAGTCAGTAAACCACGCGCAGAATGTGCATCGCCTAAGGTCAGTCAGTATGGATAAACAGTACTTACATTAGGAGCAGCCCTATGCGTGCATGATGGCAGGAGTGAATTCCTCACCCTTAAGCACGCACGGTGAGAAATTGAGCACGAACGCATTACATTTTGGGAGGTGCAAATCTCCAACAAAGCCAAGCAGGTTAAGGAAACGTGATCGTAGTCGTATACTCCCAAGGCCCCAGGTGTGCGCGCGAAAGGAAGGTCACCATCTAGCTAAAGCCCTCCGCTCTCAGAAACAGGTGGCTTACACAGGCAAAGGCGTTCACGCATCATCAATCAGATTAATCGCGCGTAACTCGCCGCCGCATCGTCCCCAGCCACGTCAGCGTGATGGATCACTGAATGAATCGTCAGGGTAATCTAGAACGACGTAACCGGATAAGGAACACAGGCAGAAGGCAAGGGTGGCGGGTGTCAAGGAAGGATCATGCCATGGAAGTGTGACGACGCCAAAGAAGAAAGGAAGGAAGGAAGTAGATTCAATGTGCCAAGGTACGGAGGAAGGCAGGAAGGAAGGAGGGAAGTGAGGGTACCACGGTGTCTGACAGAAAGAGCGTTCTATATAGAAGAACGTTTTGTCTCGAAAAACAACCTTACCATGAGTCCGTCGATCGAAAATCAATGCGTCAATAGTTTGTGAGTGCGCGGGGTAGGAAAGGAAATAACGCAACGAAGTTGACAGACAGGTATCGAGCGCTGGCACAAGGAAAAGAAGTATGCAACGCAAACGGTGTAAGGAGGATAAAATACTAGCAGAGGAGTTGAAAGACGACTTATCTACAGGAGGAGGTCTTTATTAAAAGGAGAAGCACAGTGACGGGAGCAGCTGTTCTGTTCTATGCAATTGGGAAAGCTGAAGAGAAGTAGCGCTGAAGGGGACCAAAGGGACAAGAAGATCTCCTCACACCCTGCTAATGCTGACCTGTATCACTCCCTTACGAACTCCATGGCTAAGCTCGCAGAGCCGTGGTCGAAGCGTGGACATACAAACACAAAAAAACACCACCACCGCACACACAAGCACGCGCTGAGGCACACACATAGCAAGGTCAGACGGTGAGGAAGGGGGTGAAGTTAATTGTCTCGATCGGGGGGAAGGGTGTTGAATGGGAAGTGTGATACATTTAAGATTCACCTCGTCGGAAAAATGCAGGAATATAAGTACGCCGTTAGTCGCCGCTACGTCTGTTTTGTGCTTGCATGCCACGAAAGTCTGCTTCATATTTCATAGACCACTCTCATGCCTACTGTTATCAGTGAGCGTCTGATATCGAAGAGCGGCTTATTGGACAACCCACACGGGACGCTTAATGACGTGTCGTTTTTAACTCCCAAAAATAAAAAGTATGTTCATATGGACAGTAGCGCACAATAGAAAAGAGCAAGCAGGGGGGGGAGAAAATCGGGAGGCAACCTGCCTCACACCGCTCAAGCCCAGCCAGCCAGTTTCGCGATCGTCGTGCGTAGAAAAAAGCGTGCGTGACCAGTAGTAGCCGAGCAGCTGGCTCACTGTAATAAAAGCTGAGTACCCTAGCTCGCAACTCCTTGTCAGCGTACTTCAGACCTACATTCCCCTTTCTCATAGTCAGTTTCTCTCTCCCTGACGATGCTCTTCTTCGCTGTATGTTCCTATATGGCCCTCTCGAGCAGCTGGCTCACTGTAATAWAAGCTGAGTACCCTAGCTCGCAACTCCTTGTCAGCGTACTTCAGACCTACATTCCCCTTTCTCATAGTCAGTTTCTCTCTCCCGACTCCTGCTCCTGCTCCTCCACGTCGTAGCATTCCTCCCTGTGTTCCTCTTTCCTCACCACCAGAAATAAAATTGGCCGAACCCTTTCTACCGCCCTGTACTTCCCACTTGCTGCACACGCCCCTACAACACGCCTAATGCTGCTTTCTCTCTGAGGTGGCCGAGATGGAATACGATCGGCCTCGCTTCACGTTCAGCCCCAATTTCCTCCTCCCCGCTAGAGGACTCTCAAAGTCAGGCTCGGCAACAGCCGACGAGCTACTTGGAGGCCAAGTACGAGAACAGGCAAGCTCGTGCCGACTGTGATGGTGGCGTGCCACTTTCCTATCCACCAGGAGTGAGTAAACAAGCAATTACGCAAGCGCCTCTGGGGAAGAATAGGCTCCCCCGCCGCTAACCTCGAATAGGAGAGAGTGGAGGAGAGATGGGAGAACGGAGGAAGAGAAAGCAGGGAGGGGAACTCAGAGTCAACGACGCACGTCTCTCTCCTCTCCTCCTCTTTACTATTCCATCCCTCGCTCTCGTCTTCTCTTCCTTTCTCTTCCTGTTCCCATGCTTTTCATTGCTTTCACGCCACTTCTCCTGGGAATCATTCACCAACTGAACGGGGTCGGTTCCGCCTGACGCGTTCCAGACGCTGGTTGGATCGCTGGCTCGTTATGCTGGCTGATCTGGCTGGCTGACTGGCTAGCTGGCTGGCCGGTGGGCAGGCTGGCTGGGTTGCAGGCGGGCGGGCTGGCAAGACGGTGGGTGAACAGGCGAACGGGCGAACAAGCGACGCGGTGGATCTGCGGGCGGGCGGGCGGGCGGGTAGGCGGGCGGGTAGGTGGGCGGGCAGGCGGGAAGGTACAGGGCAGCGGGCTTGGGGAAGGTGCCTGCGGCGGAGGGTTGAATCGGATGGTTCCTGCCGTGGCACTCAACCTCTGCGGTCCATAGTCTTGGCTCAGGGTAATACTCCACAGTACACCGGCCAAGTCCCCTGGAGAACAACAGGGAGTATACCGAAGCCTACTTACAGACCAGGCGAGGGCCATTCTGGTGAGTGACCGAGATCATTTCATACATGTACCGGGTGAGCGCCCTTGAATAGGATAGGCGCATCAGGAAACCAGTACAGACGACCAGTCAGTAGCATGCACAGACGATCCTCGGACCTATGAACCCGCGCTCGGACCAAGCGGCTGACTGCCTCCAGAACATCAGCGCGAGCGGCCACGCAGATCCAGTTCCTTCCCCTCGCCATGCCCAATGAATCAGCCCCCTTCCGCTTTCTCATGATTGCCGCACACATTCCCACATCGGTCAGCGCTTCGGTCACTCGGAGTTTGACGAGGGGGATGCCTCCCTGCCCTCACGGTCCGGCTCTGGCTCTTTGCGCATGCAACCCCGCTCTGGGCGGAAGGCGTGTAACTGCGCGAAGAGGCAGCAAGTTCGCCAACTTGGCGCGCTTAGAGCACAGTCGGCCCGCGGGGAAAGGAGCGCACGGTCGAGCCCCGCGCGCACGGAGAGAGAGAGAGAGAGAGAGAGAGAGAGAGAGAGAGAGCGAGAGCTCGTACGACAAACGAGGGACGATTCGAACAACCCACCGAGGCCCTGGGAGTTTCAACTACTGAAGTTCACTTCCAACAAGACGGATTGATCCTGCAACCCGCGTTGTCGCCAAACCAGGTGAGAAGGCTGCCCAAGTTCTTGGGCCGGATTCCGCCATTCTCAACTGAACATGAGAACAATTGACAAACTCGACAACAATATATGCGAAAAAAATGGAAAACATTTATGAACAACGAGAGTGAAAAAAGGGTGCGGCTGTCGGTATGAAGTAGAAACGGAAACTTCATCCGTCTCGCCCTCGGGACTATTTTGGTGGTGCGATTCGCTTGGTCTACGATCCCCTTGCAGGCTCTTGCCCTGCGAGACTAGCCCGCGGTCGAGCGCCCGAAGTCATTCGGCAGTAGCCCAACTCCGAGATTCTCAACTGAAGGTGTCCGGCATTAACTGAGGCCAGATACATTCTTCAAGCAACTCCCGCCGAGGATAGCGCGAGTATGCCCTCCTCCTTCCTCCATTCGTCGACCACCTAAACTGTCCGTTATTGCGCAAACAAGGTTGGTCCAACTGTGAGGACCCCGCTTTTGGTGTACTGTGAGGAGTGCGAGGATGGTGAGGACCCGCTCTTTTCTTCTTTTGAGTGAGGACCCCCTTCTTTTTGGGATAAGTCGCAAAATACCCACATAAGTTGAGATAGCTGCCAAATTCCCCTAAAAGATGTGGGTAGCGCCAAATGTCCCTCTGACCTATGTATCAACCGTGGGCCCGATGATTGCATGCGGTCATGGTCATGCCCGTGGGGGCCAACCACGGGGGCCAGGTGCGGCCAAAACCCCCGTCATTTTTAATTCCTAGAATCCTATGTCAATATATATATATGGGGTTGTAGGGTTTGAAATTCCCTACATACTCATTGGGGTTATAGGGTTTGAAATTTCCTACATCCCTTTTTTTTTTTTTGGATTTTGATGTTTTTTTATGATTTTTAAAAAATAGAAAACGAAAAAAAAAAGTATTAAAATCAAAAGAAACACAATAAAAAAAGGGAACTTTCTGGTCGGATAAACATGGTGCACATGTTTCTTTGATGCTTATTTTTACCGACATATGCAAATATAAAAGGGAAAAAAAAAGATAATAATGAAAAGAAAAACCAAACCCGTTTTCTTTTTTTTTCCTTCTTTTTTTTTCGTTTTTGATAGACACACATAGTATCACGTACTGATTGATTTATTGATTGATTGATTGACTGTGATTGGTTGATTGATTGATTGATTGACTGTGATTGGTTGATTGATTAAAAAAAAAACAAGAACGAAGTTCAACACGCTAGTTTGTGTGTGTGTGTGTGTGTGTGTGTGTGTGTGTGTGTG